AATCCAAAGGTAGCCCTAAACCCTAAACCCTAAACCCTCGAACGGGTGATTTCAAGATTGAATCAACGAATCAAAAGAGCACCCAACACGAAGCAGCGCAGCAGCAGCAGCAGCTAAATCCCAGCTGCTGCAGACGGCTTATGAGGGTTTAGGGTTTTCTAGGGTTTTCCAGAGCTCAGTACACCTTCCAAACGAGCACTAGGGTTTAGGGTTTAGGGTTTACAACTTAGAGCAAATGCCTACACCTATGTGATAAGCTTCAGAGTTTACTTCTTCGGGCTTTAGAGTTAACGGTTTGGGGTTTAGGGCTTAGGGTTTAGGGTTTAGGGTTTAGGGTTTGAACAGACTACCTCTACGTGGAGGCGGAGAGCCAGTTCGCAGTCAAAGAAGCTCTTCGAGGGTTTAGGAATTTGCGATTGGGCGGCGAAATAAAAATGGTGCCTTTGAAGGAAATGCCTGCAGTCTTCAGACAAGTTCGTGTATTTATTTATTTATTTATTTAATTTAATTGTTTGATTATTTTATTTGTTTTATTATCTGTTTATTTCTTTGTTTTTTTGTTCGTTTTTTATTTGTTTGTTTAGTGTTTTATTTGTTTAATTTTATTTAATTTGGGTGTCTTTATCATTTTGTTTATTCAATTCATTTCATTTCTTGTATTTCAATTATTTTATTTGTTTTATTTATTTTGTCCGTTTGTCTATTTGGTTTTAATTTGCACTTACTTTAATTCTTTTTAATATTTGTTTGTTTTATTTTAATTTTGATTTTAATTCTAATTTACCTTTTGGTTCTTTTTCTCCTTTTATTCCTCAGCTGTCTCCTTTTTAATTAAATTTAATTGAATTTAATAAAATTCAGTCTAAATTTAGTTTAGTTTAATTTAAATTTAATTGAATTGAATTTGATTAATTTTAATTTTAATTTAATTTAAATTTAATTTATTTTTATTTTTATTTTTTTTTGAAATTCTCAAAAACGCCATTATAGCCCACAGCGGGGACTTGGCCCTTGTGAAGGGGGGTCGTTTTGTGGCTTTTTTTGGCCAATTTTTGTCCATTTTTCCCTTTTTTGCGCCTTTTTGTGTCCTTTCTGGCTCTTTTTTGTTTCTTTTTTCTCCTCGTTTTGTCCCCAATTGTCTCCTTTTAAATCCACTTGTCTTTTTGTCTTTTTTTCCCTTTTAGAAAGCCTGAAAAACCGCCATTGTGCTTCAAAAAGGGGACATTTGATGGAAAGGGACCCGTTTACAACTTTTCCCCACCACTTTGCCTCATTTTTTGACATTTTTTTAAACATTTTTTCGCCTTTTCTGTGTCTTTTTTGTTGCTTTTTTGTCTCCTGTTTGTTTCCAATTATCATTTTTTAAATTTAATTGTCCTTTTGCGTTTTTCCGTTTTTAGAGGGCCTCAAAAAGCGCCATTGTGCCGCAAAGAGGGGACTTTGCGCGGGTGAAGCGGGGCCTGTACGGGGGCGACTTGGCCCAAGTTCTTTCTGCAGACCCTCAGGGTCTTTTTGCTTCTGTTCGTTTAATTCCCAGAATTGATTTGCAACTTCTTCTCAACAAGTCTTCAGTGAGTTTCCAAATTCAAAAGGACCTTTTCCTCTTCTTCCCGCTTTCAAACCCTACAAATAGATCCCTCTGGCTCTTTCTAGTTCTTTCTAAACCCTAAAGGCACTTTTTTAGGGTTTGCCCCACTTCCAAACCCTAATGACACTTTTCCGGGGTTTACACCTCTTTCCAAACCCTAAAAACACCCTTTTAGGGTTTGCCCCACTTCCAAACCCTAACAACACTTTTTTCGGGTTTCGCGGCTCTTTCTAAACCCTAGGAACACTCTTCTAGGGTTTTCTGACTCCTAAACCCTAAACACGCTCTTTTAGGGTTTCATAGCTCCTTCTAAACCCTAAATAAACCCTTTCCAGCCCTTAATTTTAATTTTTTCTAATCTCTTTTAATCTATTTTAATCTCTCTGAACTTTGTAGTTGTTTTTAATTCCTTTTAGTCCTTTTAATCTTTTTAATTTCCTTTAATTCTTTCAAATTCCTTTTTTAATTCCTTTTAATTCCTTCGAATCTTTTTCAGTCCTTCTTGACTTTTTATTCTAATTCTTTTTATTCCATTTTAATATCTCTTTCTTTTTTTAGTTTCTTCTTTTTTATTCTTTTTGTTCTTTTGTTCCTTTATTCGTTTCATTCTTTTATTCTTTTTGTTCTTTCTGCTCTTCTTTATTCTTTTTCATTTCCATTTCTTCCTTTTTTCTTCGTTTTAATTCAATTATCTCCATTTTAACTATTTTCGTTTACCATCTTCATTTAAATTCTATTTCTTTCGATTTCGTTTGTTAAATTAATTTAATTCTGTTTCTTTTCCTTTTCAATTTTCTCAATTTTAATTCCATTTTTTCAATTTTCTTCATTTCAGTTCGTTTTTTCCGCTTTTTCCTCCATTCGAATTCGATTTTCCTCGATTTTCTTCCTTTCCACTGCGTTTTCTTCGCTTTCATTTAAATTCCATTTATTTGTTTCAAATTCCACCGTTTTATTGTTTTAAATTCCATTTTGTTTTCTTTTTTCGCAAAGAGCACAGAGGCGTTGGGGTCTCGCCGCGCAAAAGCGGGAAAACCCGAAAAGCGGTTTTTCGACAGAGACCGAGTGGACGCGAGTGGGGGTCAGGTGGAGCAGGGTTTGATTCCGGGGACAGTAAAGTTCGCGGGTGGGCCCTCTAAACCCTCCCAAACCCTCGCTAAACCCTCGCTAAACCCTCGCCAAACCCTCTCCACACAAACGCCTCCCCACGCCGCCCTCGAAACCCTTTTTTGGGGTTTTCTCCCGCCGTTTTTCGCGGTTTTCGGGTCTTTTTTGTCCCTTTTTGCGTTTTTTTGTCTCTTTTTTTCTGTTTCTTTTGCCTTTCCTGGCTTTTGCAACTCCCACTCCTCCGAAGTTTATTTCTTTTCCAAATCCCCCTTTTTTGCTTCCAGGATTGACTTTTGAAGAGGCAGGATACATCATTCGCCGTGTGGCGCTCCGCCACTTGCTCCTGGGCCCTGCGGTCTCTCCCACTCTTTCTGAACTCCGAGACTTCTGCCAAAAAATGTCCGAAACCGACAGAGAAGAGACTCTTGCAGGTCAGCATTTGGGGCCCTTTTGGGGCCTCCAGGGGGCCCCCAAGGGACCCCCAAGGGGCCCCAAGGGGGCCCCCAAGGGGCCCCAAGGGGTTCCTTTTCATTCGCGTTTGTTCGTTTTTTTGCTGCTTTTGTGGGTCTTTTTTCGCGGTTTTTTTAAAGCTTTTTGAGGAGTTTTTGAAGAGTTTTTGGAGAGCTTCGAAATGCATTTTGAAGAGATTTTGGAGAGTTTTGAAAGAGCTTTTGAAGTGTTTTTGAACTTCTTGTGAAGGCCTTTTGAAGAGTTTTTGAGAAATTCTAAGAGACATTTTAAAGACTTTTTGAAGACTTTCTGCTCTTCTCTGGCTGCCTTTAGGTCCTCTTTTTGTCTCCTTTTTCCTTTTTTGTTTTTTTTAAATTCTTTTCCGTTCGTTTTAGTCCTTGAAACCTTCCTTTTATCATCCATTTTATCTATTTTGATTTTTTTTCAATTTCCTTTTTCAATCGAATTAATTAATTCATTACATATATATGAATATATAATTATCTGTTAATTTATCTTTTTAATATCCATTTTATCTACATAGATCCTTGTATCTTTTTAAAATCATTTTAAATCTTTTTTTGCTTTTTATGGACCATTTTTTCTGCTTTTTAGCCCTCTTTAATTATTTAAATGCATTAAATGTCCTTTTAATTAATTTTAAATTCATTTTAAATTCTTTTTTATCTTTTTTGTTCTTTTTTTGTTTTTTTCAGCGCAAAAACCTTTACTCCAAATGCTGAAGCAGCAACGCAGCGCCTTCAGGCTGGGCGACAGGGTGTTGGTTATTCAGGTGTCTGTACACCTGAAGTTGCAGCGAAATTTAAATTCGGTTTTCTTTTCAATTTTATTTGTTTTGTTTAGTTTACTTAGTTTATTATTTCATTTATTTTAATTGTTTTATTGTTTTATTATTTTATTTATTTTGGTTATTTATTTTATTTTTATTTATTGTTCTTCAAGTGTTGCCCTCTTTTACTGTCTTCTTTTAACTTCACCATTTCATCAATTTTCATTTTTTTCTTTATTTCTTCTTTTCTCCTTTAATTTATTTTTTATTTCTTTTTTCTCTTTTCAATTTCTCTCCATTTCCCATTTACTTTCAAACTATTCATTTATTGTTCCTTTTTTCCCCTTTTTTCTCCTTTTTCATTTTCTATTCCTTCTTACCTCCTTTCTGTTCTTCTTTTTCATTTTATTTTATTCTTATTCTTATTTTATTGTTATTTATCTTCGATATAATTTAACTTAATTTAATTTGATTTAATTTAATTTGATTTTGTTTCATTTATTTTTCTTTTTTAGGGAGAGCTGCAGGGCCTGAGGGGGAAAGTCAGCCGCCTGCCGCAGAGCCAAGAAGAAGAAAGAGACACTCAGATTCAAGTGACCCTCGATGAAGGAGGTTTTGGAGATGTCAAACTCAAAGTACAAACCCTAAACCCTAAACCCTAAACCCCTGCTTCGTATTAAACCCTCAATTCTGTTTTTGATGGCGTTTTCTGGGACCCCAAACTCAACATACAAACCCTAAACCCTAATTTCAAGTAAACCTCGATGAAGGAATTTTCAGAGATGTCAGACTCAAAGCACAAACCCTAAACCCTAAACCCTCGTTGCGTCCAAAACCCTTAAGCCTGTCGTCAATGGCGTTTTCGGGAACTTCAGACTCCACGTAAAAACCCTGAACCCTAAACACTAATTTCAGGTGGCACTTCAAGTTCGAGTACAAACCCCAAACCCTAAACCCTAATTCCGGGTTTTTCAGACGACAACTGGAAGTTTTTACCTGACTTCACAATGTCTAAAGCCAGGGTTTGCTGCAGGGAGGGTTTCTGAAACCCCTTTCCAGGGTTTAGGGTTTACGATTTAGGGTTTAGGGTTTAGGGTTTAGGGTTTTGCGAGCAGGTGTCCGAAATCCGCAAAGACTTTCGAGAAGGCGAAAGTGTTAAAGCCCTTCACGGAGTTAATGCGGGAAGAAGTGGTTTAATAACTCACATTGACAAACAAACCCTCGTGGCCACCATCTTCTCGCCTTCAACTTACTCCGAAGTAGGGTTTAAGGTTTAGGGTTTAGGGTTTAGAGTTTAGGGTTTAGGGTTTGGGGGTGGGGGTTTGGGGAGAGTTGGGGAGAGTTGTAGACGCAGTGGTTTAATAACTCACATTGACAA